CTAGCGGCTGTACCGCACTGGCTAAATTTCTCATCTACAGCTGGGAGACTCGTCGCCCCTGTGAGGCAGACCAAGTTCTAGGCTGTATAAACACACACACAACCCAATTTTTTTGCGTAGACGGTGAGCCGCAGCATGCCGAGCCTTTCGTTCGTTTTCATCCATGTCAGAAAGAGAATGTGTGGCATGAAACCTGGTTATATACGCATTTGAGCATTTGACCGCAGCGTGACATGGATGAAAACGAACGAAAGGCTCGGCATGCTGCGGCTCACCGTCTACGCAGACAAGCACCACCAGAGCTTCGCCCCAATCAACATCATTCACTACGTTTAGATGCGGTCGTTCTTTTTTTTTTTTTTCGATATTAGGGTTTAAAAACTATTTTCTTTTTGACTAATCTAATTTGTGTACTTAACTTTGAAAAAAAGAAAAAGGAGGTTTAGCGCACAGAGCGAGACTTGTAAAAAAAAAAGGGGGGGGGGGGGGGCACCTTCCATACCTGCTGGTGTACTAGAACATTTCAAAATTCCAGCCATCCGTAAAACACCGGGAAGTGCAATTTCACGGTGCATAAAGCTGTACACTTTTTTTTTTCCGGCGCTAGTAATATATACATTTTTTTATTATTAGTTTATACATCCTTTTAACGCTTTCGGGACTGCTACTGCAGTGTAAAGGTAAACATGCATGTTACAGGTTGCGGGAGTGTAAAGTCATCATCATTGTCATAAACTTTATTCATGCAAAAGTGGGAGGACCTTGCGCTTCCCGGTCGGTGCCTTTAGTCAACTTCTCTTTTTTCCAAACACAGCAGAGCGGTAACTAAAGTCAACACCGACAAAAGAGCTAGCAGTGACTCTTGAACTATAATAACTTGCCTTCATTACAAAGCGTTCGTGTGAATGACGGGGACATTGAAATACAATAAAACGCACACCGAAGTTGTTGTTACTATTTTTTTTTTAGCATTTAGTGACTTTTTGTAAGCTTTCTTCAACGGTGATCGCTCCGAGATGACTAATGCAAGTCCCATAAGCAGCAGACAGAACAAGCTGGTACAACACGGATTTCTCTCATCCAACCAACCGACGCTGTGCGCAATGAACAACACGTCAGCGCAAATATCAATTAAGTCACCCTCCCGCTCATACTCCCGCTTTTACGACGAGGACGTGATCTTCCGCCACCCCGGGAGGGGGCAGAGGGGAGAGGGAGGGGAAGGGGTAGAAGCTGCGGTCGCGAATTTTCCCCGAAGTACTTCCATATTTACCAATGGGCGTGACTCGTTCCCAAAGGTCATGCCCCATCGGAGTCTGTTCGGCCACCGAATTGAAAGAAACGAGAAAGTCGTACGTTCCTTAATTTCCATGAGACCTTCCGTTTCGCGTAAAACAAAACAAAAAAGAACCAAAGTAAAAAGAAAACCGGTGCCCCTCCCAACTAGGGCTCCCAATTTTTCTCATTACTCTGAGTAGCCAGTTCCCCTTATCCAAAAAGCGTGTGCTCGGAGTACGTGGCCTTGAAGTTATGCAATGGCCTTTTTGGCGCTCATGACCCTATTGGGGAGGAGATTCAACCGTCGCGCCCCCAGCGGCTAAGTTGAGAACTAGACCCATGGGAACTACGGCAATTTATTTGTTTCTGCTTCTGACATGGCGATTTGCGGACGTAGCCGAACGCCACGGCACACCAGGGTGTTGGGGTGTTTAGGGATTACTTGGATTGAGGATTGCAGCGTGGGCATAAACGTTCCTCTAACCCGCCATTTTCGATACACACCAATGTTGCCAACCGTGTACAGCGGATTTCGCTAAACCAAGAACACTACACACAGCAACTGCGCGCGAGTCCCCAGCCAAACACTGACACGGCACTCCTGTCCAAACTGTGCCCGCTCTCGATCGAACAAGATGACGTGATTAAAGAATCCAGTAAACCCTGTGTTGAGTAAACACCGAGCTCCGTGGAAGACCTCCTGCACGAAGCGCCCCTTTTCTGGCAAAAAGATGGAACTGTAGGAGGGCGCTTTGTCCAGCTTGTCTTTAGAGTGCCTTCATACACACGCGCGCTTTTGCTTGAGTGGTGACATCTCAGCCATTTTTCCGCCCAATGGTTCTTAAAGGGACCATGAAATGATTTTAAAATCGAATTTCATCCACCGCACGTCGTAAAAGGTGTGAAAAGGAACACAAAAACACAAGACTAGGGAGCCAAAAAAAATTATTTGCTATAGAACTTTTAGAAGAAAACTGGACTCTTTTGCGACATCTTTCCTTCGAAAGCTCTGCCTTTTCACTACGATGCATACGCAGAATCGGTGCACGTCAGCCGAATCCACATCGCCTATTGGGTAAGAGCCTACCTCACCAGCACCGCGATCGTAAACAATAAATAGCCGGCGAATGTTTCCTAAAAGTTTTGTTAAATAATATTCAGATCCACATTTTGTAGCATAATTAGAGATGTGTGGCGAAAATTGCCAAATTTGATAATGCTGAGAGCCAAGCGCCATCTATCGTGTGGTAAACGAAGCAACTACTGCGCGTGCGCAGTAGGGCAGGGCCAAGTTCTGAACGGTTATTTACTTTGGGTTCCTTCCTCTCATAACTCTGACTGACTGAACGTCTATTTTTCTACGTGTTCATCTCGCGCGTGCCGACTTCAAGCAGCAAGAAAGAAATGTACTTAAAACAAACCACGACGAACAAGAACGCTGGATCCACAAACACCCGAGAAGAGCGACAACAGCCGCGAATCCCGCTCCGACGAAACTCTCAGAATATAGGCCTAGCAGGCACTCCGACTCGGCGCAGCGTTGCTTCGTCGCAAGACCGTCTGCCTACGACCGGCTGGCGTACTGAATGGAATATGCCCGCGCCACCCTTGTGGACCCTTCCGTATTATAGTTTGATCGCTGACCTCAATTTTAGGTTAAGAGGTGAGGTCAATCTCTTCCCCTTGTTTTCCGAGGCAGTGTTGACGAACACTCGTCAAAAAGGGACCCTCGTCGATCCTCTCCTTGTTTTGTGTGATATAGAGCTGAAATAAACGCTGTATGGATTACCTTCGTAGCACGGTATGTACACTTTGTTATTGGTATGCCATTTTTATTCTGACAGACCACGTCACTGTCGAGCTGTAACAGTTCGTGGGAGGTATACGTGCAATACCGGTCCAACCTTTCTTTGCCGAGTGTCGCGTCAGTATCGAGTTGCAATTGTAAAAGATCGGTCCCGAAGCGCTTACCAACAGCGCGAATACAGCACTTCATCAAACGCGCGCGTCCGCTCCGAGTGTGAACAGGTATTTACGTGGCTCTTGCTGACAGTTCAAACGTATCTTTTTTAACGTCGGCTCGCTCCTGCATCTCCGAGACCGCGAAAAACGCCGCGGCAAATTGTTCCCATCTGCACTTCCCAACAGGCATACCGGCGTATGGGACTAGTCCCATGCTGTCGCTGTAGCGCAACGTATCTCATTGAATTTCGTTCAGCTGCGATGCGGCGATGAGAGGCGCCGATTCAGAAAATACGTCGGTGACATCGGCGCAGTAAAACCCACCGGCGCACCCCAACTCGCTAACGCTCCCATCTCCTACTGCAGAGAGAACTTCCGGTTCCGGAAACATCGTACGTCACGGCTTGTTTTGCGGTCAAGAAAAAGTCGATATTTCATTGATTTTTTGTGTAGAAGTTAATAAACCGAGACGAAAACGGATGCCTGTTCGGCATTCAGTGAACATTGACGGTTTATTGTAAAAGTTATGTGGAAAAAGTAAAAAAGTCATTTCATGGTCCCTTTAATGCATTTTGAAGTGCGCGCAATCCGGTGTCACACAGCTCGAGCGCGTAGCTTTGGCTAATGCATAGACGCCATTTTACCGCCCAAGCCACGGATTGAGTGCGCGAGAGCGTCACGTGCTGGCACATTCAGGGCAACAATGGATGTCTTCACCCTGAGACAGACAGACATGTAGGCACCCTACTTGTTTTGCACGGGGTTAAATATTTACAGAACCCAACGTCCGTGGACCGACCTGTAGATTTAGGCCCTACCCCTAGACTTCCCGATAAACATCTGTCGATGTCGCAAAATACAAAGATCGGTTGTAACCGAAGAGCACGGGTAAGCAACACTTGGTGCCAAAAATACGAAATCGGCTAAATCCAAAAAACACCCATTGTTTAAAAAAAAGAATTCCAGCTAGGACTGCTTTTGTTGGAACCCTCCCTTTTAGAGTTGAACTCTTGGTTATTCGTAATATTTTTCACCAATAATCATCGTCATTTTTTTCTTTGTTTGCGTTTGTTTGAGAAACAGATTACCGAAATGCATTCTAAAGTAAAAAAAAAAAAAACTAATAAACTGCGAAAAATATCATTTGATTTTGCGATACGTAAACAAGGGAAAGGCTACGGCCAACTCTTTTTCTCCATAATGAAAACCCCCAGACTGGGCACAATTGAAAAAAAGAAAAACAAATCGACAACCAGACAGATCGTCTCAAACTTGCAAAAGCGGGTTTATGGTTCAGGCGGGCGCGAGGGAGTCTGTTGAGATTTGACGTTACGGCCGAAACGTTGCGCAGATTTATTTGTTGACAGTATTTTCTATGCCACCAAAAACAGACCTCTTCGCTGGCCCACCCCTCTCTCAAAACACGGCTACTCGGCTTTTTTGTTTCACATCGTCATATTTATGCAGTTGTCCATTACCCTTCCCCCCGAAGGTTACCAAACCTCCTGGCAAAAAAATAGCTAGGAACATCCTGAACGATCATATAAATGGAACGATGTGAAATAAAATGAGTAGCTGTGTTTTAAAACAGTGCGCGTGGTTGTCTTTTTTTTCTCTCCAGTCTAGGGTTTATTATTATAGAGTTAATTCACCAACTTGCGTACGTTTGCTTGATTTCTTTAACTTTTTTTTTAATTTTTTCACTATTTATCCTCCTTTCTCTATTTTCTCCTAATGGGACGGCGTCGAAACAGCGACCTTATGGGAGAGAGTGGTGAGCGACGGCCTCCTCTCCACCGGCGGCGCTCCAGTCGGGCCGCGCGGTAGTTGAGCAAACCCCGGGTCCAGTGAAGTTCGGACCGCGGGTGGCATGGGATCGACGCCGCTGGCGGAGCGGGTGACCGCGTCCATTCAGCACTCCGACATCGGACACCAGGTGCTTTCGCATCTCAAGGTGAGAGCCCGGCTTTTCGTTGATCCGTTCCAATGGAGTGTGTCAAGCAGCACCAAGAACTGCAGGGTCGTGCGATCCCTTCTCATCCAAGTGCAGCGAATGTGGCGTGACATGGCGCTTTTAATGCGTGTTACGTCGCTCGTTGTGGTTGTTGTTTTTCAAACCTTTGATTCAGCTCTGACTTGTGAAAGCGAATATAGTTGTCGTCCTTGCGCGCTTGATTTCATCGGTTAAATTAATCAGGTGTCACTTTTGCTATGCGTGAATGGTTTGGCCGGGAATAGTAAACGCGGGAAAGGCCGAAATCGCCGTGGCGATGTACTTTAGCTGATCCTTGCTGGACCCCGTCGGATTATAAACCGTCGGCTGCGGGACGGAAAGCAAGTGAAACGGTGCTTCGTTCTTTGGAATAGGTCGCGTGCGAAATTTGTGCAAGCTATCATCATCATCGTGCCATTCCCATACAAAAATGGTCTATGGACGTCTATGGAAAATCCTATGGTGAGCTATCACCTTCTATGGCCCTCTATGGTCAGCCATAAGAAACCATAAAACACGCTATAGCCACCTATAAAAAAATGTATGTCTTCAAAGCTTTAGAATCTCGACCATTCCGATTTCTATACCTGGCTATAGAATAATTTATGACTACGCAGCTATAGACTCGCGACTATTCAATATTCTTTAGCAAGCTATAGACATATGTATGTCCTTGATGCTATAGATTCGCGACTATTGAATGTGCTTTAGCCGGCTATAGAGTGGTGTATGTCCCTAAATCTATAGAGTCGCGACCATTGAATTTTCTTTAGCCGACTCTATAGCATTTTATGTCACCGAAGCTATAGGCCTCTGACCTTTCAATGTTCTTTAGCCGGCTATAGAGTGGTGTATGTCCCTATACCTATAGACTCGCGACCATCGAACTTTCTTTAGCCGTCTCTATAGTGTTTTATGTCACCTAAGCTATAGGCCTCCGACCATTCAACGTGCTTTAGCCGACTATAGAGTGGTGTATTTCCCTAAATCTATAGAATCGCGACCATTGAATTTTCTTTAGCCGTCTCAATAGTGTTCTATGTCACCAAAGCTATAGCCTCCGACCTTACAATGTGCTTTAGCCGGCTATAGAGGGATGTATGTTTCCCGAGCTATAGACTCGCGACCATCCAATTTTTTTAGTCGGCTCAATGGTTTGCGTAAACTATAGGTCCGCGACCATTTTTTTTTTTTTTTTTTTTTTTTTTTTACTGCAGATGTACGAAAGTGGAAGAGAGTCATTCATGCGCTCGATCGGGGCGAGAATTTTTTTCAGCCAAATTAACGGGGCGTACGTCGCCGCGGCTATACGTCCGCGATCAGAAAAGCTTCCTTAGCTGCCTATAGGACTATTGCAGTTTTGCCGGCTGCTTTCCCTGCACATTGCCTTATTTCGGCGTTGACGTCATCTCAATCTTCCGTTTTTTAGCTCTAATTATCTGTCGTTTCCAGTGTATTTTGTAAGTATATGTATTTCATAGCGCGGCTTCTACTTTGTCCATGTACCTGCCATGTTTTTATTTCTTTCTGCCTGCTGTGTTAAATATATTTAATGTTTTTTGAGTATATTTCGTCGTTCTCGACGCGGCGTCAAGAACGCTGCTTACGCCACTACAGAGGTGAGCTTTACTCTTGTCACGACGGTTTATCGCGCTATAAAGCCGTCCATTGGACTCGTATAAAGTCTCGAGAGGGCGGTTTCGAATGCCGGTGCACATGTCATCGGTGTAGGTAGAGCAACGACGTAGCAATCGCGACGCGAGTGCTGACTGCGCCTCGATCTGGCCGGCCGCGCTCGCTCTGTGGAAATGTAAGCTTGGGACTCTCGAGCCCTGTTAGCTTACTGAAGATGCAAGACACTACTTCGTCGTCGCGAATCCTTTGCCCATCGAATGGCTTCGAAGCCGTTCCAGCGCCCGGCGTATACCCTACGCAGTGTCCTCCAACAACCGTTCGCACAGCATCGGAACCCTCCGTCTGCGAGCCCCGGCGGTTCGCCGTCGCGGGGATTATGTTCGCGGAAGTTCATGTTCGCGGTGTTTCATGTTCGCCGCAGGAGTTCATAAAATGCTCCCATTGAAGTCGCGACGATAAATCGTCGGCGCTCGCAGACTGCCAGTAGGCTCCGGGCGGTCGCTGACAGGCGCTGCTGCCTTGGGTACGCCCAGCACTGGAACGTTTTCGCCGGCGTTCGCAGGACAAAGATTCTCAACGACAAAGCAGCGCCCTGCATCATCAGCAAGTTAACGCTGCTCGAGAGTCCCACGCTCACATTTTATCAGAGTGAGGCGCAGTCGTCTCTCACTGCGCTATTGCTGCGTCGTTGCTCTGACTAAACAATTGACAGTTCTCTCGAGACTTCATGAGCGTTAAATCGACGCGTCTATAGCGCGATAGAGTGTCGTGACAACAAAAAAGCTTACCCCGGCAGGGGCGTGAGCAGCGGTGCAATCTCCGTCAACGCCCATGTCGAGAACGGCGAAATATACACAAATAACAGCCGAAAAAAAATTAATATCATTAGGCACGCGCTACCCTAGGTGCGTCCTATTATCTCTCTGTTCTGCGAATTCAACAAATCAGCAAGCGCTGTGGCTAATTTCTCTTCTTTTTCTTTAAATTATGAGACATTAAAGTCATTAGAGCTTCTTGGAGCACACATCCCCACCACGTTTCATCATGGTGCTCAGAGATTGTAATTGATGGCAGTGATATAGACTGAACTCACGGATGAAAAACGTATTACACAAATTTCTTAAACCACGCAATCATAGATTCCACAACGATGCGAAGATTCCCAAAATTTAAGTTTAAAAATGCGAACCTAACAGTGTACACATAATTCAAAAGTGCTTGGTAAAAAAAAAGACATTATATATATATATATATATATATATATATATATATTTATTTATTTATTTATTTATTTATTTGTTTGGTTGTGGACATCCTGCTAAAAAAAAAAAGTATTCGCCATTAATTATTCATTTTAAATTATAATGTGGGCTACAAGGCGTAAAATATGATATCTTCAAACCTCCCTCGTTTTGGGTCACTTCTGGGAAGTGCAGCTTTAGAAAAAAGTCCAAAAGCTGGGGGGGCCTTCATGGAGCTGTCCTGTTCACTCGGTAGTGACAGCAGAGTAGGCGCTATGCGTGTTTGAGGCCAATCACGTCTCCGGTTAGGGTCCCGTGACAACTGTCTCGAAGCTGGTGATAACGCTGGACACGGCACCTGCCTTAAGCCCAAGGCCACACATAGCATCCACTGCACTATCAACCTTGGCTCGAACTGTCAACAGGATATAAGTGACACATTCTCTCGCTGTGTTCATTGTTGGTATGCCCCTGAGGATTAGTCTTTGTGATCGCACCCCCGTTCTGGCCTTGAAGAAGCTCCGCTTTTCAATTTTTCTGTTTTCTCTTTTTCCCTAAGCTAAAAGCATTGTAGAAGGTGCGGACTCGGCGGACCAATCAACCGTAGACTTTTTATCGCTTCACTCCGCTCTCTGTGCGCATGTAACGGAAGGAGCGTGATCACGTGGTTTGACGGATGACGCATTAGCCACTGCCAATCCCGGAATGAGGCTGCTTGCGGACCTAGTTTCGCGTGTCGTGCGGCCCGCGGGGCTGCTGTGGATTTCGCTTCTATGGTAAAAGGTATCCCGATCGAAAAGTCCTACCCGTATGTCGGCAACAAGCGATTTCTTCAAAGAAGCCCAAGACATTCTTGTGATGCTTTCAGTGTTCGGTTCGGCAAATGACAGCTTGTGCTACATCGTGGTGAATCTTCATGGATCCCGTCATTCTCGGTTTTGTGTTTGAGTGGTTGGTCTGCAGTGCCCGTGTCGACGTATATTTCGGATTACATCTTTCAAGTCCGGTATTTTGAACGTAAGTGCGCTGCAACCTACTAGGCGACAATTGACCGTTCTGTAGTGTCTATCTCCTGGCAGTGCCTATCTTCTGACAGCTGGGAGAATAATTTCCCCGTAATTCTAACGCAGTCGCCTGCCATTAGCTCTCTGAAATCATGTGAAAATTGTAGTTAGAATACTGACATTCTTATTCTCCGAGCGTTTTGTGAAAAGACGTTTCATGGACACCTTTGCGTGGAAAGACGTTTCATGGACACACGTTTAGTCGGCACTCGTTACGCGAATTGCACGCTGCAGGGACATTTCGTCGCGCCTGTATTCCTGAAGCGCGTGCTCACCGACTCAGCCCACCTGTTCACGCCACTTCTTGGCAAATTATTAAAAAAAAAAAAACATATTTTGAGTTGTTTATAAACGTCACGTGTTGATGAAACGATCTCGATAAAACGTCTTTTGATAAACTGATTGCAGCGCCAATGAGTGGCGACTGGCATTAGAATTTCGGGGGGAAGGGGGGGGGGGAGAATTCGGCCGGCTGCCGGGGGACTAGACACTACCCAGGAATTGCCTTTGGTTCTTGTTTGCTTTGCAATATTCTCAGTTGTATAACAGCTCAGTAGTACCTCTTCACATAGTAGAGATTGCTTAATGTGTGCTTGTCTACAGAATGGGCTGTGTGTAATAAACTTCTAGGAGATTTGAAAACAATACCTTGTGTCTGTTTACCTGTGCTTTTGCAAACACCTGAGTGAGTGCATTTGTTTTTTGTTGTTGTTTTGTTGAAATGTTAGCTATTTGTTTTAAATGGGGCTATGAAGTTCGGCACGTCTCACAAGTTTTTTTTTTAAAGATGTCCAGTGACAACAAATGATTTGTTTCACATTTCATACGATTGCGGTAAAAAGAAAAACTACAGGCAGCTTTGGCACGATGGCAAAGAGACTCATAAGACGAGCTATAGAATGAGCTATAGCGGACCATGCAAAGAGCCATAGGCGGCTAAAAAAACTATAGGAAAAGCCATAAGCAGCTATAGCACGGTGTCTAAAAAGATCCATAAGGTAAGCCATAGAGATCTCTATAGCAGACCATACAAGAAGCTATAGGCGGCCGTAGCACGATGGGTAGAAGGAACCATAGGACGAACTATAGAATTAGCTATAGCAAACCATACAAAGAGTAATAGGCGGCTAAAGAAAGCACAGGAAAAGCCATCGGCAGCTATAGCACGGTGTCTAAAGCGAACCATAAAGTAAGCCATAGAGATCTCTATAGAAGACCTTACAAGAAGCTATAGACGGCCAAAGGAACCAAAAGAAAAGCCATAGGCAGCTATAGCACGGTGTCTAAAGCGAACCATAAAATAAGCCATAGAGATCTCTATAGAAGACCTTACAAGAAGCTATAGACGGCCAAAGGAACCAAAAGAAAAGCCATAGGCAGCTATAGCACGGTGTCTAAAGCGAACCATAAAGTAAGCCATAGAGATCTCTATAGAAGACCTTACAAGAAGCTATAGACGGCCAAAGGAACCAAAAGAAAAGCCATAGGCAGCTATAGCACGGTGTCTAAAGCGAACCATAAAGTAAGCCATAGAGATCTCTATAGAAGACCTTACAAGAAGCTATAGACGGCCAAAGGAACCAAAAGAAAAGCCATAGGCAGCTATAGCACGGTGTCTAAAGCGAACCATAAAGTAAGCCATAGAGATCTCTATAGAAGACCTTACAAGAAGCTATAGACGGCCAAAGGAACCAAAAGAAAATCCATAGGCAGCTATAGCACGGTGTCTAAAGCGAACCATAAAGTAAGCCATAGAGATCTCTATAGAAGACCTTACAAGAAGCTATAGACGGCCAAAGGAACCAAAAGAAAAGCCATAGGCAGCTATAGCACGGTGTCTAAAGCGAACCATAAAGTAAGCCATAGAGATCTCTATAGAAGACCTTACAAGAAGCTATAGACGGCCAAAGGAACCAAAAGAAAAGCCATAGGCAGCTATAGCACGGTGTCTAAAGCGAACCATAAAGTAAGCCATAGAGATCTCTATAGAAGACCTTACAAGAAGCTATAGACGGCCAAAGGAACCAAAAGAAAAGCCATAGGCGGCTATAGCATCTTTTCTAAAGAGACCCATAGATTAAACCATACAAAATTCGATAGCCAAATTTCTATTGAAAAAGCTATAGACAACCATAGGGTAGACCATAGGAAAAGCTATAGACAGCCATAGAAGCGGTTATAGCAAATTGGGCCAATTTTCTATAGCCGGCCATACAAAGGATTTTCTATAGCCGACCATAGACCATTTTTGTATGGGTTCGACGCCGCGATATTGGTCGAGGGGTTCTACACCTTCTAGTTCTGAACGAGGCTCACCTGCATTTAACGGGACAATGTATGCCTGCACTCAGTGGGTTCCTGTTTAATTTTTGATTCAAAGAAAACAAAAGAAAAGGAATTGGCGGCAACGAGGTCGCAGGATTCGTCACTCGAGCAGTAAACTGGGTTGTCCAGGTTAGTGAAAGGTCTTTATCGAAGGCGTTGCGCGAAGGGTTCGTACTGGACTCGCATCACGTGATCATATTTTAGATCTGGGACTCCCGCTCTACCAAGACCAACTGACTCTTGGGCGAAACTCTCGGTACGGGAACATCCCCCAATATGGCAGGAATTTGATCATTGATCATAAGTACATTAGATGGAGCTCTTTTTTTTTTATTTTTGCAATCGGTCTATTTCTATGGGCTAATGTAGCAATCTCATTGGTTGCCGAGTGATAATAAGGTGCTCGAAACTGGCCGCGACCTGCGTTTGCTGTCAGAAACTGTAGTACATTATTTGTGCTTCGAGGAGCCTTGGGTTGACTTTCTGTTCGCGCCTTGAATACGATCGGTGCATAGCAAAGTCAATAAGCTCAACTAAAATACTTTGATATAGGTTTTGTTGTACTCGTGCATCTAGCCTACCCTTTAAGTCCCTTAGCCTACGGCCGTGAAGACAACTGTAGTCAGTGACAGGATGAGAAACGGTAGGGTGTCTCTCTTAAATGCCCGACCTCTAGAACATGCTCGTTGACCGACGAGCAGTCAGAAAGGAGGAAACGCTCTCTCAATCCCTTCTTTCCATTCCAGAAAGAGAGAAACCCTCCTCTTTCCGGCGAAGAGTATCTGAGACCCGCTCCTGCACTCTAAAAAAAAAAGCCCGTGCGTCTACTTTCCCGCACAACACTCGGAGAGCCAATCTGCACAACTTACGGAGGCAGCTGAGCGAATCACAATGCCGAAACATATGTTTACACCAAAAAAACGCAGTCTGAGTTGTGACATTAATCAATGCAAGCGTGACGTTCTGCATTGCTTAATGTCACAACTCAGATTGCGTTTTTGGTCTAAACATACGTTTCGGCGTCGTCATTCGCTGAGCTGCCTTCGTAAGTTGCGGTGGTTGGCTCTCCGAGTGTTGTGCGTGAAAGTAGACGCACAAACTTTTTTTAGAGTGTGTGTGGAAATGGGGGAGAAGAGTGCGGGAGGGAAGGGGGAAAAGGAAACTGGGAACCGGTTTTCTGCCCGGCAGAAGGCGATTCTGCAGGTCGGCCTTTAAATGTGATTTGTTTGTTTGTTCTTTTTTTCCAGCGGTTTATAACTGAAACACCAGAAGCAGACGGCTCGCTTCTGGAGCTGTTGGAGGAGAAGTTGCAGACCTCAGGTATTAATTACGTAGTCAGCTGTATTTCCGCACGTCACGTACAGCTTTGCAAAGAAACGCATGGTGTGGTTCGTTATGTTCCCTCTTCCTCCTTCATAATTCGATCTTTCGGCAGCAGCAATATGATTGGCTTTAGAGCGATAATCGGATGCTCGGGACTTATCTCGCCTTGTAGTTCTTACTTCGTCTCACCCTATGATGGACTAAAGGCAAATGCTACGGACCGCCAGACCCAATCACGAGCCCCTCAGAAATTGTGCGGTATTTCGCTTCGATCCACGTATCGGATCCCGAGTTTCGGATCACTGATCAGGGGATGGGTGGACAGTGGCCCGAGTCGAAGAGCACTGAGTGATTCAACAATTTTACATCGCAAAGGAAGCCACCACATATAGGCTCTTTGCAGCGTCGAAGCTATAGAAGTGAAGCGGCACTTTTGGATTTCGAGCATTATTCGTCCACCCCTAATCAAAAATAGACGTGTCAGTATAGCGTGGAATGGGTTTGGACCTGGCGGCCCGTGGCTTTGGCCTTTAGTCCACCGTAGGATGAGACAAAGTATAGGCTGTCAGTGCGCCCCCCCCCCCCCCCTTTCTTATCCATACAAGAATAAAAAATTTCCTTTCTTCTGCCCTATATTAGAAAACCCATATGACCTTTTTTTCTTTCTTTTTTAATAGGAATATGCTGGCATAGCCAAACATCTGTGTCTACTTTCACGCCTAGCATGTTCCAAGGGCCATCAGTGCGTTCTACATAAGTATCGTGAATGACAGAGCAGAAGACACGCTTTGACTAAAGCGCAATTTGTCGACGTCATGATGTATTGTTGCTATTAACTATAAATTGCTATCTTTAAATAAGATTGTAATGCCATTGTTTTACTCTTAAGTCGTGGCTACAGAAATGCTGCGGTAGCGTACCCCATTGAGGGAAGACATCTGTGATTGGGTAGCCATATCCGTTTGAATGCCAAGGTGACGCGTCACGGTTGTGACCAATCAATAAGCCGCGTTATGGTAAGAGGGTTGACTTCACAACCGCGAATGCAAGTAACGAGCTTTCTTTTCTTTATTTTTTTTTTTTCGTTCCTTTTATGTCTTGCTATGTTAAAAGGATGCTGTGAATTCGTCACAGTTTTGACAACAGTTTTGGTTTATTTTTTGTAGGGTATCATCAGTCCCTCCAGAACGCTATCTATCACCGCCTGTGCCAAGAGATTGAAAAGTCGGAACTGGGATCGGACGAAGTTCCTTTCCTCGAAGAAGCCCAGGTGGGTCCCTTGCTTCGCAGTTGAAGCAGTGCAACCTCTGGAGAGTACAATATGATTTGAAAGTTTAGTTTGTGCAAAGCGTGGACTTTGTTGTTGCGGATACAATCAATCTAGCTTTCTAACAAATATCTGTCAAGCTAGCGCTCGGGCCAGCAAACCTGTAAGCGCGCGTTCGTCGTTTATTGTGCTCGCACAGTGTCGATACACTTCAGAACAGAAAAGAATTATGTTCGTAGCTTTGAAACTTATCTTAACCACGGTCACTATGATTGAGTAACCACATTCAACACTCAGGCGTTCATACTCACCAGGTTCTTGCCGTAGTGTATTGCGTTTATTTCTATTTGAGGCTGGTAGGGTAGAGCTTGAAGACAAGGACAAAATGGGAAGAACTGGACACCACCGTCCTGCTTTTGACGCTTGCATGATAGCGTCTTCGAGCGCTATCATGCGCCAACTCACCCAACAATCAGCATTGTCCTTGTTCCTGTGCTATTATATGAATATTGAAAGTTACGAAAACATGCTTCAATCTCCCCATGGTTCTTTGGACCATCCATCGTGTGCCGCTTGGCTCCTTTCGTAACGGTGTGTGATGCGATCTACTGGACTACCTTTCATCGGTCTGGTCGTGCACAAACGAGAAGAAAAATAGCAATTTAAAATAAATTTGAAGAGTCACTGGATTTGGGAATGCTGAACAAGGGACAAGTCTAGACGTACCGTCCCTCAAAAGTCCTGTGCCCTCTTTAAAAAAAATGCTGAAGACAGGTACGGCGGACGTTGAGGCCTATACTAATTCTTTGTGGGTTGCAACTGTCCTCTAAGAACGCGTATTGTTGATAGTGTAAATAGATGCTGTTTGTCGCATCGGGATTAAATATGCTGCGAAATTTCATTTTAACGCTTACGCTCTGGTTTGTCTATTCCGGTAGCTAAGGTGGCAAACTAACCTCGTGAGAAGCCTGAAGAGCACGGCAAAAGAGCTCGGACTTCCTCTCTGCCGCAAGGTATTTTGATTCTTATCATCTCAAATCATCTTTCTTGTCCTTAGTGGCAGTTGAGTGCAAGAGTGGCCCCACACTATGCAATATGTTTATGGGCATTTTACCGGCGTAAAACCATTCGTGTTAGTAAGTGAGTAAATGAAGAGCAATAAAAATTTTCACAAATATTTTTCGGTTTAAAGAAGCTATTTTTATTGTTTGTCAATGAAGATTTCATTTTTTAACGAGGAGCTTATTTTTTATGGTTTTAGACTAATTTTGTTTCATCGCAACTAGTGACCTGAAAGCAGCGAAAAAAAACGAGTTTTCTAGTTTTGGCTAAATACTACTTAGAATCACTCCCTAATGTTAATAAACTTGCCTTAGTTTTTCTTTCTAAGCAATGGCAGTCGCCAAAAAAGTTCGAGAAATATGAACATCGTTCATCCCCTCAATTCGGAGCCAGAACAAGCGGCCACGTGGCCTGGTGCCTATCCTATGCCTCCATTCATAGCCACGCACTGGAATTTCCAAAGTAGAAAACGCGTGCCGAGCTCCAGGCATTGTTAGAGTTCAGCTATTCTCATCACCGCAGTGGCTGAACATGAACCACTGCCCAAGTATCCGCCGAGGCACTGATTGTGACGAGCCGAAGTCGAGTTCTCACGTAGCTCTCGCGTCCAATTCATGAGGCGCGCTCGACTGTCGTGGTTTCGCTCCCACAATTACGTCATCAAACTTTGCGAAGGCAAGACTACAAGAAGTAGTCCACTTTTAAGGCTCATTCACGCTGGTCCGTTTTCTTACGTTAAGTTACGTTACGGAATATTACGTTGAAGTCACCGGGACCTCTATGCTTCATATTAAGCGAGGCTACCAGTTCAAGGAGAAAGCACGACACGCGACATTCGAGACAGGAATGTTTCGGTGACTTATACGTAACGTAACTTAACGTCAGAAAATGGGGCAGTGTTGAATGAGCCTTTGTCCTCGCAATTTCACCGCAACAAAGAAGCTTCTGAATCAATGGCGGCTTGTGCGAGCATACTTGGGCTAGACTAGGGTCAGAACGCCTCTGCAAAGGCGTGTATTACAACCCGATGTTGTTTCATGACACCTTAACATTCACTGCGTGACACAGTTTAAAAAAGCACGAAATCCACCACCCGCCCCCCCCCCCCCCTTGTTTTTTTTTTTTTTTTTTTTTTTTTTTTTAATGCGGTGAGTTTGGTTTGTTGCAGTGGATGAGCAGTATCCATCATTCTACCATACCAGCAGTTTTCGCCGTTGTAACAAAAGAACGGAAAAACTGACAATCACGTGTTTGTGCTAAATCTGTTGCTCTCTGTACGCCGAATGTTGATAATTTGGTGAAGAGTAAATCAAACTCCGAAAACCTACATGACCATCTGACTTTCTAGTTATTACTAACGTATTGTCCCTGGCACCTAGTACCTTCATTATGAAAAGACGTGGAAGGTAAACACAGCATTGTTGTTAATGAAAGCGTAAAGCCACTGGCAAGTTGAATGACTTCAACCAAACAATGACGTAAAGAATGAAAGACTTCATCAAACAGCTTCCATTTCTTTCTTTTTCTTTTTTTTATTATTTGTTTTGGGTTTAGGTATGGGAATCTTGTTCATATTCGTGCGACCGAACTTTTATTTGAATTTGTACACCGCACTTTGCATTGTTCTGCCTTTTTTTTTTACGTACTTACTGCAGAGAAAGTAAATGGCAGTTTTGCGTTAAAAAAACATTGAACATTAATTTTGAACGCCTTTTGAATTCTTATGCGGCTCTTTTTTTATATATTTTTAGAGAACTGTAGGTGAACAGAATCTCATCGAAGATCGATGGTTTGACCTAGGCCAAGAAGAAATTGGTAAGTGTTTCCCGCTCGAAAATGTTTTTGTCTCTAACCTCCGATTGAAAGTGATAAATCGAAAATCGAGAGAAACACAAATAAAAAAAATATAAAACGCACAACATGTTTTTTTTTTTTTTTTTTTTCGGTATTGTTTTTTTTGCGGAAAACACTTTCCTTCCCCTTCGTGTGATTGTCTCGTTTTTCGCGAAAATCATTAGTTCGTCATATTCTACGGTGACAGGGCAGAGAAGTTCGTCATGTTTTTCCTTTTTTTTTAACCGCTACTCGTCGGCACCGTTCAAACACGCCCGCTGCCGGCGTGTATGAAGGGAGGTGGCAGATCCTATTATTAACGCAGATCGCCGTTCGCTGCCGATGACCGATCGTACATTAGCCTGATCAGGTCGGTGTCACGGACGGAATACTAAATTTACAAAATTATGTACCCGCCCCCCCCCCCCCTAAACCCTCCCCCCCCCCCCCTTTGCCTATTGTTTCTGTGCCCCAAACCTAAAAAAAAATAAAAAAATAAAAGGCTTCACTCGTGGTTTGGTTATATATATATATATATATATATATACATGTGTCTTTCATTCGCTTTGTGGAGTTTGCTTGCGGGGCACGTTTCTTGTTGTGGAAACTTAAATTATGATTCAGAAATTTTGTTTTGGACGTACCGCAACGCAGACAGACAAGTAGGAATTTTGTGTATCTGCTTTTAACGGGAAACGTTCTTTTGGCTAACTGCTCCGGATTTCCTGAAGCTGTAGCCCGCGACCTCACTTCGTGTCATGTGACCTATACAGAAATGAAGATTCCCCCCCTACATTTAGCGGAAAAATTGACGTCACGTGACCTCAACGCCAGTTCAGTTTCCCCGCTAAATTTAGAGGGAAAACTGGTGTCACATAACTTCAAGGTCACGTGACACGAAGTTTCACGTGACCTCGAAGTTATTTTCTTCTTGAAGTTGCAATTCAAGAATGTAGGGCGATGGTAAGACGGACCAGGGAGGAGGAAGCAGACGGAACACTGCAGATGAGAGGGAGAAACCTCCTCTCTCCAGCGTTCCGTCTGCTTCCTCCTCCCCAGTCATTCTTACCCTCGCCCTACCTTCTTGAATTGCAACGAACTATATCGCTAAACCAAGATCATTTTATGTAGGAACACAATTGCAGGGCAATTTTTTTTATTGACATGTTTTTGTGCATGTCTGATGAAATGTTTGATATGTTACACCGAATCGGTCTTTTTTTTTTTTTTTGTCACGGTGCTTTTAGTATCTCTATACCCTACTCGTGCTTCTTTTGGTGCTACTGACGAAGATGGAATATTGGTTTTACTTAACGGTCGCCCACAACATAAGAAAGGCAAGGTGCGGCGAGTTCCCAGGGTCTAATTAACGGTCATTAGTAATTCAGATGGCGGCACTGGCCGATAAGAATGTCAATGAATGTGTCAATTAGCATGACCACACCCCGTGTTTCTTAAACTTTTCCTGACTATACTAATAGGGATCATCTGTCTCCTTATTGCAACGATACCAAAAATGTCTCAATGTCTCAAAACAGGCCCCGACCGAGTTTCTGCAAGGGTTGACTATATGCGTAAAATTAAATTCATTCGTGCTTCGTCTTCGTTCTTTTTTTTTTTTTTATTTTACATCACTGTTGGCAATTTCCGAGTGAAATTTGTTTGCCAAACAAGACTGTGACGGGAACTAACACCGCAAAATTTAATGAGATGCTCAGTGCCTTCCTTAACCATATCAATTAGGTTTACAATTGTTTTAGAAACTGTAAACCTACGCTCGTCTCTATTGTATGCTCGTACCATGCTTTGGTTTTGCTGTTTTTGTTATGATTTCATAGAAGTGTCAAATCATATTCTCAACCCTCCCTCCTGTAATACCCCGAAACGGGTATTCGAGGTATATTAGTGGAGGAATAAATAAATATATAAATTATATATTACGACCACAAACACCTACACACCAGCTATAGGAACTGGATCCGAAGAGTCTGGTTTGAGCGTATCATATGTTCAAGAACCGCCTCCCCCCCCCCCCCCCCCCCCCCCCCGTTTCTCCGCCCTAAATGTTTTCACATACAGAATTGAAAAGGGGAGTCAAGATATTCGGACCCCGCCTCTGAATCTGTCATTACCATGCATGCGCTTGTTTCACCTTCCAAGAGGACTTCGATAATATTGAACGCAAGAGGAGCTAGGTCACTTTTATCAAGATGCGTTTAGAAGAAAATAATAGTGTTACATATCTTTCACGAGTCTTGCGTCGTCGTCTTCTATGGCAGCGAATGCACTAATGGCTGCAGTGGAAGGGTTTGTTTGCCACACAACGTTAGTTCCCGAGGTGGCCGCTAGGGAGCGCCACTCCTCGATCTCCAATGTATGGATATGTGATGGTGCAGAATACCTCAGAGAGCATGAAAAGTATATAATAGGTAAGGGCAACAGAAATGCAGCTGTAATGAAAAATAGAGCACTTTGGAATTACAACAGTTATGAGGTGGTGAGAGAGATTTGGAAAGGGGTCATGGTGCCTGGCTTGACTTTTGGAAACGCAGTGCTATGCATGAAATCCGAAGTGCATGCGAGACTAGAAATAAAACAGCGCGGAGTAGGTAGGCTGGCTTTGGGGGCACATTGCAAAACGCCAAACCAGGGAGTACAAGGAGACATGGGATGGGCGTCATTTGAGAGCAGGGAAGTGGTGAGCAAGATAGAATTTGAGGATCGGTTGAGGCAAATGGATGGGGAGCAGTGGGCACGAAAGGTTTTCAGCTATTTATACATGAGGAGTGTAGACACAAAGTGGAGACAGCGCACTAGGAAACTAAGAGGAAAGTTTTTGGGCTATAGCGAAGATACGGAAGAGCAAGTCTCAGTTAAGAAGAAAGTTAAGGCCACAGAAAGAGATCGGTGGCTAGAGGGAATGCAGACAAAGACGGCTCTGGAAAGCTATAGATTAAACAAAACAGTTATTGCCAAAGAAAGCATTTATGAGAATTCTAGGGGAAGCTCATTGCTGTTTGAGGCGAGGACGGGTGTTCTGCGAACCAGAACATACAGAGCGAAGTACCAGGAAATAGATACAGTGTGCACTGCTTATGGAGAGGACGAGACGGCTGAGCACTTGATACTCTGCTGTAAAGGGCTTCACCCTATGCCTACCGAAGACAACATAGATTTAATAAAATCATTGGGTTTTACAGGCAGCGAAGGAAGAGTGGATTTCAAGACAGTAGAGATTACCAAGCAAAGATTAAGTGAATGGTGGCAGAAATCGAGAGAAAACGATGCGTTTTATTATTAACTGATGGCAAGGGGGTTTTATAGCCTCACTTTCTTTGCAGTGCGGAGTGAATATCGTTTTCACATTTAAATATTCTAAGCTTAAATGGTAAAACAAAATGGCTAGGTGGCGTACGCTACCGCCCGATCCAGAGGGCTCAGCCGGATTCATCCATCCATCCATCCTTTCCAATGGGATGCGTTTACTTGTGTGTGTGTGTGTCATGTCTAGGGGCGTCGCGAACTTTTGTCGAACCGGATTTTTAGGTCGAACTTTCGGGGTTCGATTGGGTCGAACCGGTTCGACGAACCGTCGAACTTTTCACCAGATTCGACCGGTTCGACTTTGTGGACACTGTGGCCAGACCTTGATACAAGCATGTCTAGGTTTCGAGAATTTTTTTTTTTTTTTTTGTATGCAATGGATTATTTTATTTTATGAACAGTTGCAATTAAAAGAAATCAATTCTTATCACTGAAGAGGGTAATAACGTAATTTTGTGTACTGAATTAACTGAACGAACCAATCAGCGCTGCCCTTGACTCATCTTTTAGCCATAACCATGTAATCCGAAGCAAACTGGCCAGCAAACGAGTCGAACCTCAATCAAAGAGTCGCCGAACTTTTCACTAAAAGTTCGAAAAAGTCGACCCTGGTCGAACTCGAACCGCGGCCGGTTCGCGACACCCCTAGTCATGTCGTCTTTCTAGTCCCAGTGTTGCTTTTTGTAAATGTAATCCTTCGCAGCACAGTTTAATAAAGGTACGGAACGGTACGCGGAGCGCAAGTTCGTCTGCTTTTTGTACGGGGGTTGCGATGGTGTCAGAACGCAGAGCTCTTATTGGCTGATTGAAAAAAGAAATGGTGGGTAGACCTCCAGACATTTGGCACTGAAGTCTACCCACTAGTATTCTAATCAAAACCAATCACAACTCGGCGTCGTTCCGACGTCACTTCAACCCCTGCGCACAGAGAAGCAGACGACTTGCTCTCCGAATAGTCACTGCGAGCCTACGTTTTCTGTTTCCTGTCCTTCTCAGTCACGTGGGTTTCGTATCTGGTATGCGGGACGAAAAAAAATAATAAAGCAATTCAACCTGAACTATGCGAAAGAATATAGTTGAGGCGAAACAAGAATGTGTGACAATCGCGCATTTTTCGTGAACGCCTTCCAACGGCGTGAGAAATCAAAACGACGTTTTAACGCATACCAGAAATGACACGATTCAAGATGGCTGCGCCCTTGTGGAAAAGGTGTATACAAGAAGCGTTAACGTGTTCCCGTTTCCTGTTTTCTGATTCGCTTTTCGGCGTTCTGATTGGTTACTTTCGCGTTCCGCATTGGTTATGGAGCAATAAACAGACGCTCGGAACCGTCCGTTTTCTGCTTTGCTTCGGCTGTCAGTGATCTTTGTTACAAACTTACTTCTTTGGCCTTTCGTTCTGTTCTTCGTCCACCTGCAGAGCTGCTGGCCATTCGACCCATGTACTCACCTCAGGACTTGCTGGATTACCTGCTCTCTACGACGACCCCCAGTGATAAAATAACAGACGACGACGCGGAAAGCTCTAGGTAAAGACATACGCTTTAGGTTGCATTGGAAACGTCTTAAGGAGAAAACCAAACTAGCGAGTCACTCGGACACGTTCGAATCTGCGTAAAGCAAAGGGTTGCTCTTTTCCATTCACGTATCATTTGATCAAACGTGTACATTTTAAGTCTGTCGGAACAATAGAATGAGGCGTCTATAATATGCGTAATTATTGCAGTTATTACACACAGTAGTGACCCCTAAGTAATCACAGTGAAGCGAAGATACAAGTCACCATAGTTCAAAGCAAAATAATCACCCGCTGTACAGACATGTGTAAGGAATTCGACTGTAGTTGATCGCTTCAGCTCAACCCTGACCACCTCTTCCTCCCCTCCCTGCTGAGACAGAAGCCCACGAAGTCTTGCTGAGATTTTATGAAACAGGGTATCGTCCGTATTTATAAGAGTACAATTGTTTCATTGTCCCATTCGAACCATTCTTCACATCATACGTGTTAACGCCCATACTTAGTATTAAAATTTGTAAAACTTTCTTTTCAACAGCATCTGGACTCAGGCCGCAGTATCGCTCAGGACAAAGGACATAACCGAACTGGTTTGTCGTCAGCCCTCGTCTAGCTGAAGTTGTAATCAAATACGCTGCAGTGGTTATAGCAGCAATGATTAACCTCCTTGCACTTTTTTTTTTTTTTTTTTTTTTTTTTCTAGAGAGAAATTTTGAAGGTGCCGATGTTCGAGATCCCGGATTCCTTAGACGTGGACAGCGAGGAGTACGAAGCATTCGCACAACTCAGTAAGTATAAGTGTCATCTCCTATGTGTAGTTTAAGGAAGACGGCCTCAAATAGCGAATCCCAGGATGCAAAAATATATCTTATGTTCATCTTCCAGAAGATGCTAAGCGGTCATATTTTCAGGCACACTACACCACAATACAACTGTCCTTTGATACGACCGTTCTTCGGTGCCACATCTCTTTGGTATATGTAGATTGTAAACTTCTTTCTCCCTGTACCCTGTTCACCCCTAAACTAGTACAGTGTAAGTAACGTGCTCTTTGGTCCAGTAATACGACCACTTTTCGCCACGAGATCACGCTCCCGCTCATACCCACGCCCAAACAGCGGAGTGATTGTGCTATGTGAATGTTTAGACAGCGGGTGGCTAGTCAGCGCCAATGGGCGTCTCGTATCTCCGCTGTAGATGAGAAACTTAGCCAGTGCAGTACAACCGCTAGCCTGGGATCTTCAACGTGCGCCACGCAGATGTAATACACGACCGCAAGCCGCTACGATGCTCATCCAAATCGAAACGGGCAGGGGTGGGGATTAGATCCAGGACAGTTGGGCTCTGCAGCGCTAGCTTTCACTCCGAGCGCTCCGAACTGCGATACGTTATTAGGGAGTTTTCGTAGATCGTTTTCGCCGTCCCGCAAGGCCCTCCGCAACCCGCTACGATAGCGGGAACTCCACAGTCAAGGCTATGGGCGCGCAGGCGCAGTAGCAACTTCTTCGTTGCGGAAGGCTTAGCGGAGGGGGCAACGCGGTCTACGAAAACTCCCTATTAACACAGTCGGTCACCCGTCCCCAAAAGAGCGGTGAACGGGAAACGGTTGGTTGGTCGGGCGAGCGAGTAGCTCCCGCTGTACTATCTCAGGTCTAAACGGATCAATGGCGCAAAGTAAGCCATCAAAGACGCGCTATGGACGCTTGATAGTCGAATCGAACGGGAAGCCTAACAGGCGGTTTCGCGTCCAGCTTTTTGAAGAGCAGTTTAGGAAGCAACGCGCAACCGCGCAATTTTCTGCATCTGAATTGAACGCCGGTAGCAGCTGGGCATCTTCGCCAACTTGACCTCTAACAAGGCTCAGGCTGGCGGCGCCATCTACCGCCAAGTGTTCCCACTGTGACTTTCGTCGGCGACGCAATCAAGTGCGGGCTTTCCAGTATAAAGAACTTTGGATGAAAGGAGTTTTCCGCACGAGGGTTTTTCGCTACAAAGGTGTTTCGATGCACGGGCATTTGTCTAAACGCGCCAAGCTCCCATTGGTTAATTATTATGGTGTATCCTGCAAACCAGCCGTTTTTGTAACACTAACACGTACTTCCCACTAGCATTGTTGGTTTATTTCAAATGAGACTGATATTCCACCGCTAAAGCACAGGGGCGGATTTATGGGTCAGGCTTGGGAGAAGGGGGGGGGGGGGGGGGGTATAGTTTTTTGAGATATGACGTCACGGCCGAAACGTAGCCCATTTCTATTTTGCTGACGCAATATTTGCTGTCATCAAAAAATGACCTCTTGGCTAACGTATATCAATTTTTTCATTAAAAGAAAGTTGACCTTGAAAGGCTTAAGAGGGGGGGGGGCGGTCGCCCCCCCCTCCCCTCGCCCCCTCTCCCCTAAATCCGCACCTGCTAAAGATGTCCGTGTTTTTAAAGGTATTCTATTCGACTTCACATATCCGTTTCTACGAACGAAATAGCAAAGAGTATCTACTACAGGCACCAAGACAAGTATATGTTTCTTTTCTACAAATTATTCGTTTAATGCCAGAGCGATGGCCCTATGAGAGTACGATCACCAATAAAATTGCCACCTGACAAATAGGTTAACTATATCAAAGCTGAGGTAGACTACGTGTTTCTCAATACTGGTACATTTAAGCAGAGGTAAGGTACACCGGGAAACTGAAATGTCCCTATATTTTTCGAAGCTTCAGACTAACGAGTATAATTCTGTTTTGTTTAATTTTTGTCAAACTTTCATAAAAATATGTTTTAGAGTTGAAAACGTCAATATTTTTACTAATTCGCATATATCTTTATCTTAACTATATCTCTTTTTTTAACGTATCACCTGTTCACTATCTTCGTCAAGTGTTAAGATATTTTTATTGCTTTGTTGAAAAGAATAGCAAAATGCCCATCCTTGTTTGATCAAAGAGAAAGATCGTTTGCTTTCGTCGCGTCCAGAAACAACTACTCCACGATTTGAATTTCTGCCTTCTCGATCACTGCTGACTCTGAGACTTACGTCTTCGCCAAAGTCATAAAGACGAAGCAGGGATTGCTAGGGGATAACGTTCTGGCCTGAATGTTTATATAGGTATATGTTGATGACACACAACCCAAACTTTTTTTGCAGTTTATGACACCAACGACGTTCTCGCAGCGAGGGAGTTCTTAAAACGGGGTTGTCCTCAATCCATGAGGAAAGTCTTCTGGTTGAAAGTCCTCGGTGTTTCTTCAGCCGAACGGGTGAGCAACATAGGTAGAGTATTGAAAAGTGTGTCGAGGAGTACGATCTATAGAGCAATTAATTGTACATATTTTACAGAGCGACGTTGAATTCGAGTATTTGAAAGGGAAAATTGTACAATACGAGTTTTTGGTGGACCAGCTGGTCTTAAAGGTATGATTTCTTTCTTCCAGATTCTGTGGGCGGGAATCTGAGTGCATGAATGTATTGACAAACATTTTAATGCTAGGAGTATAGTTTCAACTCCCGCTACGAGCATAACAGTGACATCGCACCTGATCTCTGTCCATTGTAGGACGTTCGCCTAACTGCCATGAATGACGTAGAGTACTTTGTCTTCGACGACACTTTCTACCAGGCAAGGGTTCCAACTTGAAGCTAGAGTAGTGAGTAGGAATGCTAATTCGGTCTGGTGGCTTTGATACTTGAGGGGCCACGAGTTGGCATGGGCACATAACTGCATTGCATGGCATGATTATATGGGTGTGTAAAATAATGGTCCTGACACTATGCGAGGCATCTAAAATTTTATGTAATGTAACTGTAGCCTGGCACAAGTTAAGAATACGCCAAATAACTACCAGCACGTAACAGCCACGACATCAAATTGCTCCGCAGACCAATCAGGAAATGCGGTAGCCACGACAAGTTTGGTGATGTCAGCGCGGCGTGCGCCTTGGTGGCGGACTTTTTGAGCATCGCGGAGGAAGCGTGGCTGGCGGTAAAGAGGATGTGGGAGGAGCTTCCGACGGATTCTTAACTTGTGTCTCACTATAGTGCGACATGCGCTTCAAAGGCATTTTCCACTGATAAGTTAATAGCTCTACATTAATGTCTCAATAATGTGGACATTTCCGTTTCCCCAAACAATCGTTCATAAAGTAAGTTGTCCATAATAAAGAAACGAAATGCATGTAGTTACCCAGTTCGTCCCCGAAACTTCTGTCTGTATAGCGAATTATTTATATTAACTGCGTCCATATAAACGAGGCATGGCTGCATCAAGGGGCAGAAATTACTCAACTCACGCAGTCGTTAGGAAAGGCCTGACCTGTTACTTCAACCAGACAGTTCCCGACTCGGCTTTTTTTTTTTCCTTTCTTTTTTTTTTTTTAGTTAACAAGGTGCTATAACAATTCGTCAAATATGTGGAAATTTATTAAATGTTATAGATTAGTTATGGCGGTCAGCAATCACTCTAGAGTAGCCTGAACAGCTACAGCAGCGACAACTCAAAATAAACTTCAAGCGTATAAGTAATACGTAAAGTAAAACGAAAGTCAAACGTATGAGTAATACGTGAGTAGAAATGAAACTTTAGAGCTTTTAATATGTGTACCATAATTTGTGAAACGGCCATGAGATGAAATTGAGACGTCTGCTAAAAGATTCTGCTTATCGCCAACTCTTATGGTTTCATTATCTCCTCTCAGATAATGTTGGCATTTATTCGTGACACGCAAGTTGCCAAGAGATTACGAGGGAACAAGCCCAAAGAAAGTGGCGACTGCAAAGTACCTCACCTACCGTGCGGAGTTATTCCATTTTATGGTATTTCCTTGTTTGGTGAGTACCTCTAGCTTGTGTTCTACGAGCAGTACTCTCGCTGGAACTCTTTTGGAAGCACGAAACGTGTGTTTGTTCGGCAGCAACTATGGTGCAGTGTGTGTTCACGGGCATTGCCCTGTTCAATTCTTCTTAGCTTGTTCTTTAGGTTGGAAAGCCAAAGGAAAGACAGTAGTTGATAGTCAGCGCTTGTCTTGTGTTATCTTAGTCTTTTGCCCTTGTCCCAGACGCGCTGCTTTTGCTTTTTTTAACATGAGCCAGAGCCTGTTAAAAGCGCATAATTACTGAATATGACTCCCCTTTTTTTTCTTGTGTCTCCGGGTTTTTAGTAATGCATGCCACGAGATCAGTTGCGCATTAACTCTTTGCTGAAAGTATGTATGTGTGTGTGTGTTTTACTTTAGTAAATGGAACTAAATGTCAAAGAATCATTTAGACGCAGTAAGGGCACCTGTAGCGTCAGTTAAAGTTAAAGGCTTTGATTTTTAGCTCTGACATCGAAATGTAAGGCAGATATGTTTTATGTACAATTGAATTGTTCTTACAAAGCACCGATCAACTATACTCCGTCTTACCTTATGATGAACCGTGACAGACTTTAGTAGCCAATTCCTGCAACTGCGCCCCTCTCAAAGGTCAAGTGATTCTCCCACTGCATTGGATTGGCTTCAGTAGCTTTCACCATCGCAAGGTGAAGCGTAATATGAAGTGATTTGTCCCTTTGTCTGAAAAATGCGCTGCGTGCCTCAGAGAAAACGCTTCCGCCGTCTGTTTTGCGAATTTCTTTGTTCCAGTGGCTCCATTGTGCTTCCTATACGAAGACGTCGCCCAGATGTACGCAGTCTTCAGGGAAATGTACTGCCGTTACTTCCACAAGCTCACCACCGTATCCTCTAATCCGCAGGTAGAAACCTCGAGACGCTCCGACATCACCATCATACTCGTCACTACCACCTTCCTCACCACTCTCATCACCGAAACCATCACCATTCTCACCATGTCATCAAAGTCATCGCGATCGTCGTCGTAACTTATCCCTCAGTATAGCCTAGGGGCCTGATATATGTGCTCTGTGAACATAGGTTCGCCAGCAGATCTTCAAAAGAGAACGCCAAGACCTGGCGATAGTTGCAACTCCTAACTGCAGCATTCTTAATGACGAGCATGACAGTCTAAATCATACTTCTCTGGTATCAGAAGTGTAGTGCTTTACTGAAACTAAAAGGATAGTGCACGCGATCTGGTTTATTACTGACATAGTAACATTGGAGCAAGGGAAAGAAGAGACTGTCGAGCACAAAACTCCAAACGCAGCTAAACACGTATTGAACCAAGTAATAGGCCCACGGCCAGCCGAAGTGCACGAATACCTAAAGTACACACCTAACGTTTAAACACGTTTTTGTCAAAAAAAAAGACGCAAAAAAAAAAGTCCGTGCCGAAGTTTGCCAATTGACTGTTCTGACTATACTCTCGCAAGCCTTCTCGAGCGAATTAGATATTAACAGCGCCTGGCGGTCTAAATGCGAAGCCGTGGAAGTACGTTCGAAAACATGTGGTGGAAATGGCCAATACTGTATATTTTATCAGCGGTTGGTTTTAAGGAGGAGTTTTGAAAGGGCGTCTTCTTTTAAACAAAATAAATGTTTTCTTAGTACTAGAAATCACTGCACGGATGTCTTCTTTGACTTTCGCCAATTGTCTTTGACCTAGCGAGTTTCACGTTAATCGTGTGTAGACGTGTTTGTAGTAAGAGCGAACAGAACCAAAAGTTGTCACGAAAGGCATGTAATCATTTTCGTTTCTTTATCACAGGGAATTGTGTCTTTAGCAGTGACCTTCGAGAGGCTTCTTCAGTGCAAAGAGCCAGAGCTCCTGCCCACTCTACGATCGAAAAATATAAACTTGTACGTAGATTTACATTTATTTTATTAAGCACCCTTGACACAATATATCTGCACCTAAAACTAGGATTACGTATTTCCCGTTCTGCAACGATCAACGTCATTCGAATATAATGATGTCTGAGAATGTGAATTTGCAAAGAACAGAAACGGGGGAACGGAATTAGCAAAGAACGGAACGGGAACGGAATTTGCAAAGCTATCGCGTCAGTCTTGAGAAAAATTGTAAATGGAGATTCTCGTGAACAGCCTGATGTGCGTGCGAAGATTTTTCATTGTTTACTGTTTCATAAAATGCTAGTCCTATCAAGATGAGTGAATTATTGATAACTCTGCATAAACTGATGTGCTCCACGGCATCACGGATGATCGAAAGAATACCATGTATTTCATTTGTCACTTCATCTGGACATGTTCTGTAAAAATACAACCACCTATTCTCATTCTTTTTTATATATATATATTTGAAAGGCATTAACATAGCGCTTAATTTCTGCGATAGCAATTTTTACCGTTTTGTGTGTCTATCCCCGGTTTATAGACTGCCGACAGTCTTCCAAATGCTCATGCACTGCTTCTGCCAGCGTCTTCCCGTTAAAGAAGTTCTCAAGCTCTGGGACAGAATTCTGGCCTACGATTCCCTCTACATACTGCCAGGTGTGTCGGTTTAAACTTTTGGTAACTTACTTACGTACCCCTTCGAATGTTTGCAAGTTTCACAAAGAATAAAAGTTATACTGTACATGCGCTTTCGTCTTAGACACGTTAAATTAACACATAACACTTTGTATCTCAATGTAATTCAGATCCTTAGAACAAAAACCCTACTACTGCAGAAGTGTCCATTGAAACCTTTATTAATTAGAGGTCAAATTATTAAACAATAAGTAGCGAGTAAATTTTTTTTATGTATACTTGTGTTGTATGTTCTCATTTATTTGCTTGACTTTTTGCAGTACTCGCAGCCAGTTTGGTGTGTTCAAAGAAAGAAGAAATTTTGAATATGAAAGATCAATCCTGCCTTGAGGTGAGAAGAATCATTTTTCAACAAAATACGGGTCCTTGGAATGTTCTAGTGGTAACGCGCCGTCCTTTTATTTGCAGGACATTTTCTGCAAAATGAACTTCATCGAGATTGTGCCTGCTCTAGAGCATTTTCTAAATCCATTGAGGCTATGACAACCACTTTATTAGTTATTTCAGACCATTAAACTGACCCTGACACGTATAAGCACGAGCTGAACCTTTCGCCCCTTTTTTCGTCTTAACTCCATTATTTCAGCAATGTTTCCTTTGAGTGTGCTTCGTGCGATCGTTCAATATCCATTCTTTCTTCTACTTATGCCACCAGTCAGATAACCGCTACTTATAATAATAATAATAATAAATTACAGACGTTTACGGTTCTCTGTAATGCGAAATTAGAGCGCAGCTCTTGAGGCCTGTTTATTTTGTGATATACCATAGTAAAAGGTTTGAGAGAGAAAAAAAAATGTATATATCATAGACTTCTTCTTTCTTTTTTTCTTTTTTTTTTAAGGTTTTAGGGTAGGCCAAGGATACCGAGGAGGGTACGCTGGGAGGGAGCCCCATAATGCAACGCGCGCGTCGTTTCTTACAACGTGAAATTTTTTTTCGCTAGTTGCTACAGATTTCGTGAAGCCGCATCTCGTGAAGCCGTGGCCTGTGACGTGTCACAATTTCCCCCTCTAAAATTAGCTGGAAAATTTACGTCGCGTGACCTCAAGACCAATTCAGTTTCGCCGCTAAATTTAGCGGGAAAATTGCGTCACATGACTTTGTGTCACGTCACCTTAAAACAAATTCAGTTTCTCCACTGGATTTAGTGGTAAAATTGACGTCACGTGACCTCAATACCAATTCAGTTTCCCCACTAAATTTAGGGGGGAAAATGATGTCACATGACTTCATGTCAAGTGACTGTTACACAATGTGGTTTTCCCCACGAAATTTAGAGGAAAAACTGACGCCACTTGACCTCAACACCAATTCAAATCCTCGCTAAATTTAGCGGGGAAACTGAATTGATGTTGAGGTCATGTGACGTAAGTTTTGTTGCTAAATTTAGCGAGGAAACTGAATGCGCCATGTTCCGTAATGGGACGTCACAGACCTACACACTAATTCAGTTTCTTTGCTAAATTTAACGGGGAACTGGTGTATAGGTCTGTGACGTCCCTTAAAGGGACACTGACAAGATATTTATGATGGCAAGGTTTTCACTTGCACATGACATATGAGAGCCCAACTACTCAGAACACAATTTGCGGCAAGAAAATCGGTTTCTTTCCACCTGAAAAACGCCGATAGAGAACTGGCCGGTTTTGAGTCGCGCTCACTCTCTTTTTTGTGGTCACGTGCCGTTTTCTGTGGTTTAGACACAACCGCCAAATGATTAAAGTGGGTTATCGAAGGTACACACTCAATACTAGGAATGGACAAAAATATGATACCCATCTTTTGCGGCTTCTAAAAGCTGCAAACACGTTAATCGAGAAAAAAAAAATTGCACAGCCACGTTACTTTTGGTAACTATCTCCTTCTCTAAATTTCTTCTTCCTCTCACTCTAGTTTCGATTTCGGTTTCGAGCAGTTGAGTGTTTTAATTTTATTAAAAATATATGTGACGCTGTAGCAAATATTGATTGGGTAGTCTTCGGTCACCATAATGAATCGCTTGGTAAAAAAAAAAAATTAAAAAATATTTGGGGAAAGGGGGGGGGGGGGGGGTCAGTGTCCCTTTATGGCAACGCGCGCGGTTACGCCGACGGCGACACCGACGCCGCTAAACGCGGAAACGGACGCCTAAGAGCTGCGCTCTAACAGTAGTAATAATATTAATAAGAATGTTGATGATGATGATGGTGGTGATTTTATTCAGGGAAATTGATGCAAAGATTTCAGGCCCAGAAAAGCAAACACTGCTTGCCTGTCTTTGTTACCCCCAACGTCCCAACGCCTCTTTCTTCTCGATGTACTCATAGACTTACACGCGGCTTTGATGCTGCACCGCTGATGCGCTGCTGCTGTCGACACATCGCATTAGAGAGCCTACAGGCTGAAGAGTGGTGCCATCTGAAATCGCGGGGAGTGTTTGCAATTTAATGGCGCACGCCTCCCACACCGCTTCGTCCAAAGTGCGCATGCACTGCGTTGTCGCGTGGTGAGGAGGAAAGACGGCGAAAAGGCGGAGACGTTCACAAACGATCAGCGCGTTCGTTACTTCATCGCAGCTCGTATATGGCAAACGCGGCCCATAAACCACGTGACCACCCGATCGAGCAGTTGGAAATGTTTCTGTAACACAGGCTTTCTCTGTGGCTCACGCGCGGACACTTCACCTCTCTCAAATCTGGTTTCTGCGCACGCGCAATGCCCACTCCTGCTGCGAGCAAACGCGGGCACGTTTGCTGTGGTTTCACAGTTTCCGCTTTAGCGGGGAATGTATCTTCGCGATTGGCGGTGTTTTGTTCGTGTGTCTGGCAACTTTATAGATCCTGCTCTCCGATAGATCCTGCTCATTTCTATATATGTGCTGGATAATCTAACATAGAAAGCACGTGTCCAAATATAGTCTGATATGATATGTCACTTTTATCAGCCATCACCAACACGTGGCACAGTTCTTGAAAAATTGATAAAGAAAAAAGATTTCCCAGCCTTCGTAGACGGCTTTTTTTTTCTGCGAAGCCCGTCTTTTGTATGATATACTGCCATAAGACCACGAACCATTATTGCACTTGATGCACTTTATGTAGAAACCTATGTTTTGCATGACATTCCACGCTGCCGGACAGTGTTTATTTATTTCAATATGCTCAGGACCCAGCGCGCGTTACAAAGTTTGGTACAAGGAACTCTGAAATGTACATTGTTCAGAACAAAAGAAACGAAACAAATTAACGAAGTGCACGTTTACAAAGTGTTTCAGTGATGGCGGTTTTGAAAGATAACACCTCCTCAATAGAGGGGATGAAGGGCTGAAGGCGGTTTGACTGTGAGCTGGCCTTGGGTAGGAAGGAACGTAAAATCATACTTGTGCCTCAATAGCGAATGGACGGAAAGACACACAAAACCGGCCAAGAACTGCTGAGCTGGATAGAGAGCATAGGGTTGGTGATGGTAAATGGAACATTGAAATGCAATGGAAGATCACATGGGCTGTCCGGGAACGCATAGACATCGTTTCATGTATCCAGTTCTATACGAAATCTTGGCGGACATGATAATAGACGAAACCGGCACGACGATCCTTGGAAGTGGCTACCGTAAGAATCGTCGTGCCGGTGATCTTAATATTTCGACAACAATTGGGGGAAGGGGGGGGGGGGGGGGGGGGGGGGGGGGCAATGTGTTTACACACACCTCAGAGTCGGAATTGATATTGTTGACGCGTACAGCGTACTCATTATAGGAAGTATTCACTGGCGGCCATAGCTGTGTGCGCGACACTGCTGAGCGCGTGCTGATGGCGAGCTTCCACAGTTCTTTTGTAACGTGCATTCCGCACCCTCAAGATTGCCGGTCTTAGCAGCCTATTAATGTGGGCCCGTTCTGAGCATGCGCTCTAGACAGCACCCACAAATATGGCGCCCAGTGAATACTCCTTATAAAATAGATCAATTGATCAATCGAGGAAGAAGGTAACAAAGCTTACGCGTGAATAAAGGCAAATAAAAACGCCAGGGGCCGGCGCTTTGTTTTCGGGTGGAGAGGGTCCCGTGGTGCGCCGCTGGCGCGGTTTTGGTCGCCGGTGCCACCGGCAAGGGCTCGCCGGCAATTGACTACCCGAATTCGCCATTAGGGTATTGGCACTCTCTTCCCCGACATTGTTGTGGGCACCGTCATCTTCGCTCCCATGCAGAGCAGACGCAACTGCCGATCGTCATGATTCAAAAGTGAGACTTCCTCAGCATTAGATTCGGTATTGGGAAGGTCATGTGATATTGCTTTGCTCTGTCGCGAACTGTTTCAACATTTGTGGAAGGCGGAAAAGCGTTTCCTGTGATATCATATAAAGCTTCAGATAATTGGTAACCATAATTTTACGACACAATATGGCCAAGTGTCATTACTCTGTTATTGGCTGAAGCTGAGCATGTTGGTTCATTGCTTGCGAATGGGGCCAGCTGAACATGGAAAACACACAGAGAAAAAATATAACATTCGCACCGCTGGACTAGCAACATTTAATGATGCCTCTTTTTCCTTTCCTGCTAATCCTCGATTCCGGTTTTCTTTTTCTTTACACTTAGATTTTTTAATTCTTTACACTTGATTTACGTTTTCTTTTTCTTTACACTTAATTCGAAATTTCTCTTCCTTAAACGCATTGTCCTTTTTGCCTTCCAAATGTTCTCATCCCTTTTCTTCTGTCTCCCTTGAACGGTCTTCCTCTTCCTTTACCCTTGCCTGGACCTCATGTCACTCCGCAGGAAAATCTTCTCGGAGTTGTGTAGTGCAACGGAAGGGGCACTGACGCAGTCCTCGCCTTTTTCTTCAATGGCTAGGGCTTCCAGTAGTTCACGGGCGAGTTTATTTTTATGTCGCCCCACGATGCTTACGTTGCACAGGGTTGCCCCGCATTGGCATGCGCGACAATGGGCTGCAAGGTGTCCTGCTGCTGTCACGTTTCGTAGAGATGTGGCATGTTCTCTGGTTCTATCGTTGATACAGCGCCCTGTCTGCCCAATATAACACCTTCCACGTGTTAATGGAATGTTATAAATGACCTCTTTTTGACATTGGGCGTACCTTGTTTTGTGTGCGATGTTACATGCCTCTTGCTGCCTACGTTGGTTTTCGTTTACCCTGCCGCACATAGAATACCCTTTGTTTGGCGCAGAGCTTATCACTTGGACCCCTTGCCGGCCTGCGATCTTTTTTAGCCGGTGAGTGATGCCATGGAGATATGATGCCACCACTATGGGACTTGCATTATTTTTCTTTGTTGTTCGCTCGATGCCTTCCTGTCCGCGCTTCAACTTCTGGGAGATCTTTTCGCATATTGATACCAGTAGCGTTTCCGAATATCCAGCATCAAGAAGCCTGGATATCTGAGTGTCAAAACTCTTCTGGATCTGGTGTTCGCAAGACTTTTTTAAGGCAGATGTTAGTTCCGTGGTAACGACCCCACGTTTCACGTTCTTTGAGTGTCCGGATTCGAATGGAAGGAACCCTTTGCAGGATCGAGCTT